GACGGACCTGAGCTCAGAGCCCACGAGGGCATACGACAACCACTTGGAAGTCGCTGGCCTAAGCGCCATCCCGGCGGCCCAAACGGAGCTTCGGAACCGAAGCGGTACCAGGCGGATGTGTTTCAGTGATGTCTTTTTCAGCCAAGCAAAGAAGCCAAAATGGCGGATATCGGTCATGTCGGTCATGTCAGTCATGTCATCCCAGTTGATTCCACAGAATCTTCGTTGAGAACTTGGGGACAACATTCGATCCTATGTTAACTGTGACTCAGTCACACTTGGCTCACCAGGCCCTTCCAAAAGCGAACTGCCCTGCCAGTTGAGGCCAAAGATCACCTGCCCACGTGCACGGTCGGAGGCCAGCGCGTGTCGGCAGCGACAACGCTGAACGACGGAGGCGCACCGGAAAGAAACCCTGGCCCGATGTGTAGCCGTACGACCTTAGAGGTAGAAAAAACATTCGTCTTTCAAAAGGGCGATGCGGAGGTAGGAGCTCATCTGGGTACGCAGAGGTAGGAGCTCCAAGCAACTACCAGTCGTTTTGGTTGAGACACGGCGGGGGTTCCCCCGGCGTGTGGCTCCACAGGTCTCAGCCGGTCTCAGCACCCAGCTCCGGCAGCCCACCGTTTTGGAAGGCCTGCAAGGCCAGTACCTCCGAGGACGACGACCCAAAAGGCAGGCATGAGTAGCATCTATACTAGGTCGTCACACCATACTGCAAACCAGTTCGGAAAAAACACAGAAAGCGGAGCAGCAGCCCCACGTCCCCAACAGAGCCCACAACATGTCTTGTGAACAAAGGGTGCGGTGAAAATTGCCAATATGATAAAAGAGATGCCCCAGGATAGCCGCAGACCGGCAACAAAAGACCACCATGGCCTCAAAAAAAGTAACCTTATACTTGTCGGACCTAGGTCTGTCATGGCTATTACCGCAAAAAAAACAGCAGCAAAGCCTTCAACATAGATCCCACGGCCCCAATCACCTCCAACATACCCCCACGAGAAGCCTCAAGAGAGCCCCAACATTTGGGGAAAAGTGCCAACATGGAGAAGGATATGCTCTAAGAATGCACCAAGATCGCCGAAGATTGGCACGAAATTTCACCGCCCATTGGAGCAAGCTTTCGTAAGCAACAAAAACGACAAAAAACTGTCAAAACCACCTTTCTTACACTTGTCGGACCGCATTTTTGCATTGCTTTTACAGTGCTTTATGCACACTACGCAAAAGACCACCTGCCCAAGTCAAACGGCAGAGAAAACAAGTAACCTTACACTTGTCGGACCTAAGTCTGTCATGTTTTATATGATGCTTTACGCACATTACCAAAAATAAAACTACCTGCTCAAGTCAAACGGCAAAGAAAAAGCAGCCAAGTGGACCAACATCGCCGCAAAGAAGTAAAATAACAGCAGCAAAGCCTTAGGTCCCTCGGCCCCAATCACTTCCAACATACCTCCACGAGAAGCCTCAAGAGAGCCCCAACATTGGGTGAAAGGAAAAGGACAAATCCCAAAAAGCACCAAGATCGCCGAAGATTGGCACAAACATGCTCTAAATTTGACCACCCACCGGAGCAAGCTTTCATAAGCAAACAAAAGCTACCAAAAACACCTTCCTTACACTTGTCCAAACGTTCGCGATACTGGTTATGCCACCTGGAGAAGACTGCAATATTGACATCTTGGGTGTGTTCGTCCGGAGCTAGCTTTCATACGCAGACAAATGACAAAAAGAAGCTCTCAAAAACACCTTCCTTACACTTGTCGGACCTCATTTTTCATTGTTTTTACCAGTGTTTTATGCACATTGCCCTTCAAAGCCTTTGAATGCCGGAAAACAAGAAAAACATCAAAAATTGCCTCCGTGCAGGTAAAATGCAACTTTTTGAAGGCAAATAAGCTCACCAAAAAACTCCCCACGGTCTGCAAACCAGCTTGGCCCCCACCCCCCCGCCGCCCCTCTCCCTTTCAATAATACTACAGCGCTTTCCGTCATCATCGTGCTACGAATTGAATACAAATGACCAGTTCTGGTTGTTTATCGTGCCATAAACTGATCATAATACTGGAATAGAATCGATCGCAAAGTGCCTCTCGTAAAGAAGGGATGGAAAAGGGTCTCCGCCTCCTCTCTAGCCATCCGTGCAAAAGCAACAACATCGAATGCAGGGCTTGTGTGAAAAACCATGCCACCACCGACGGCCGCCACCGACGGCCGCGGGCACCGAGGCAGGTTCCGGTTCCGGCCGTTCGCCCGGCGGTCGAGACGGGAGATCTGGATACCTCGGGGGCGGTCCGCCGCTCGGGCCGCTCGGTCTGGAGGGCTGCGCCCGGCACCTCCGCCCGGTCCATGGGGACCCCCGGTTGGTTGGGGTTGTTCGGTACGTCCAAAACGCACAAAAAGCGTGGCATGTGAAGGTGTGGTGGTTCCACCGTTCCCACCGCCCAAAGAACGTAGTCCCGAGACTCCACATGCCGCAATCCCCCTGGAAGATTGGCATGTTTGCGTGGAATCCGCGGCTTGCTGAAAACATATCAAGAAAGGATATCCTCCGCGGTTCCTCACCCAAAAGTGGTGGAATGTCTTCTCTCCACTGGGGAAGATGGCTCCTGGCTCTGGTTCAGCTAGTTGGGAACGCAGAACGGACCGAGGAGAGCTCTGTTCGCCCAAGGCGCGAGTTGCGGGGGTCACTCTGTTGGCTCCGCGTGTACACCGGGATCACATTTTGGATGGTCACAGTGGCCTTGCGGGCGGCAAGGGGGTCCAAGGTGGCTTTGGTTCGGTGTTCCGCCTTGGGGTGGAAGGCCGTCTCAGGCTGCAAGAGCGACGCTTCACAGAGTCGAAGTGTTTTTTTCTGGTGTTCATGTAGAATCCAACAAGCTCGGCACTTCCCTGACACCCACCTTGCAAATGGGACAAGCAGATGTGTTCTTTGATCTGCTCCTGGCAGCTTCGGTCTTTTCTCGGCCAGAATATATATATATATATATATATGTACACACACCCCTAGAACCTGGGTCACCTCGATTCTAAAAGGATCAACGATCCAAAATATGGCCTGTGCCTATCAAAAACGAGGTCAATTGGGTTCTAGGTGTAGGTGTGTGTGTGTGTATATCTATCTATCTATCTATCTATTTATCTATCTATCTATCCCTTTGTGTGTCTTCCACCAAAGCAGCACCGGAGTGCATGGCGGGCCGCGCGGCCGCTCGGCCTAGTTGGGGACAGCGACGGGCCGCGGCTGGCCTCGCGCCACTCGCCACGCGGTTTCGACCGCGACGCCGTGGTTCGGCGAGGTGAACCGGCCTCTTGGCTGGGCGCACTGAGCCATTGATGTAGACATCCCCAACAGAAGAGGTGGCCTGGTCACAGCTCTCGGCTCTTGTTTGGAAAAGAAGAACTCACACTCGGAGTATCATGATGTATCATTCCATAGATTGTCAAGGCAGGGGACATTTATCAGTTCAAACTGTTACGAAGGGTCGATGCACATAGGACTGCTTGCTTTACAAAGCAGTGAGAAGATGTGCTTCATTGAGCTTTGAGGGGGCGTTGATGATATGCATCTGGATATGGGTCAACTCCTTGGGGGGTCCAATGTCAACGATAGGAAAGCTCACCTATGAATGGTGCGCACTCAGCGACCTGGCCAATGCTCCAAGTGGCAGATGTGCAGTCTCTCCACTTGACCCAAACGATCAACTAAGCTCCAGTCCACAGCGCGTCACGACGGGTTCAACGGCTTGCTCCAAGCAAATATTGCCTTGAAAGCTGTGTTCATCTTGAAAGCTGTGTTCATCTTGAGCATCTTTACCGGGCTCATCTCAATCCAAATCTGCGAGAAAACAAACATGGTGTCAATCTCATTCTGAGCCTCCACACACTCGAAATTGGCCATCAAGCCGAATCACACCGGTTTCTCAACCGCTTCTAGAGCTTGGTTATTGGGCGCTGTGCTTTTTCGAACCCAGTCTCATATATGACAAAAATTTCACTGATTTATTTTGCCACAAGCTCAGTTCTGAAGTACAGTGAGCCAATGGTGCCAAGTGAACTCTGGATTCAAATCCTCAACTGATGAGAAAAGCCACGGCAGAAGATGGAATCGGAGAGTGCGTTGACATGAAATCCATGGTCAGCCAACCTTTGCCATCCATGCGCGATAATACTGAATTGTTGCTTGTCAATATTTGATACATTATACAAACAGCACAAATTGATTCAACCAATTCAACCATGTTCTGCCAATGAGTTTCCGTGGACACCAGACACGAGTTTAGCCACACCCAACGCTCCCTTGCGATCGCTGCCTCGAGAACTGTTGACTCTAATGGAAGTGCTATTTGTTTGGACAGAATCAAGCAAGCGATAGCACCGCGCTCATCGCACATTGCACTGGAAATACCCCATTTTCTCGCTCACGGTGCTTCGATTGAAGCAACTCTGACCTACAGTGGCTGATTGTGGCGCCAAAAGGCAAGGCTCAATTGGTTTCCCGTGCCATGGGCCATAGCATCCAGGCGTTGACTGAGATTTCAACATCCTGCAATAGAGCCACGTTTGTTTGCCGCCACAGGCCATCAGACTCACCCACTAACTGCAACCCCCGGTGGGGGCTGGCAGAATCATCTTGCTTCATCCTACTAAAAAGAGAAGCAGCCCAAAAAGCAACGAAGCCCTACAGGCCCTACAAGGCCGTCGACCGGTCAGGGCCGTCGAATTTTTTCGACCTTCGGACTGGTCCTTTGAGCGGCTGGGTCCGAGAGCAAATCAAGTAACAACATGAATTCCAGCGACGGCAGAGAAGAAAGGCAAGAGAAAGAAAACCAGGGGGGGGTCCTAACAGGATATCATGGCGCACGAATGATTAACAGAACAACTTGTTGTGGCAAAGCATGAAGAAGCAACGAAGCATTAGATGATTAGGGTGAGGCATTGGGCTTCTTTCCTTCAGAAGAATGGAAACCATCGGTGGATCATAGCAAAGGAAAGGATGTCATAGCCATGACGAGAAAAATTATCCTGCCAGCCCCCATGTTGTAGTTGATCCCTGGAGAGAGACCAAAACTGAGGAGTCAGTCGTAGAGTCTACCTTTTCTCAGCTATGCCAAAGGCCTGAAAGCAGCGAATTGGGTGCATCTTCTTCACAGACCTGTTGAAAGAATCAACGCGTCCTGAACCCTGCCTGATGGCAGCATGGTGAAACTGCGAGTATGGCTTGTTTCAGCAACAAGTTGCTCAAACTTGGAGTAGCCTGATCTGATGTGCCATGCCAAGTGCAGCGCAGTCCGGTTGCATTGCAGGCCACTGGGTTTGGTACACTTCATTGTCGCAGTCATATGCCAGCAATGGCATGCCAAGCTTGGATGCAACGTCCCAAATGAGTCCAAAACCATCTTCTGTCCCGCACAAAAGATGATTGCGTGAGTGGGGAGCCCAAGCAATTGAATTGACGCAGGATTCCTGATAAGACAGAACCTCGAGAGCTAGAGATGGTCTTCGAACGTCGATTAATTTCACTCCAGGAACATCACCCGCAATGGTCGCAATATAATTGCTATTGATCTTGTTCCATGCAAGCCTGAACAAGGGAGATGGTGGTGAAGACTCGTAGACGATGGTTGAGTGAGCCAAGTTCCTTTGGTCGAAGAGCCGGACCGAACCATCAGCCCCCACTGATGCAAAAAGGCTATCGACAACAGAGAACGCAATGTCATATACCGCCTTGTCATGAGCAATCAGCTGCTGATCGATTTTCTGTGTCTCCAAATCCCAAATAGTACAGGTGGTATCCACCGACGAAGCCGCAAGCTTGTTGTTGTTCACACAACTCCAATCAAAAGAAGTCAAAGGAGGCAAATCTGTTGCTTGCTTCCGTGCTCTGCTGCTTGACAGTGTTGCTACACAATTCATTTGCCTGTCTTGAACCTTCAAAAGATTCAGTGCAGTCGTGGAGGAAGCAAGCAATTCTTGATTCCCGCCATTGCAACCATTGTCTGGCCTCCACAGCAGCTTCGTTGGAGGGAATGTGTGCTCTGTTTCCGCAACACATTCTATGCTGTTGTCGTTAAGCTCAACAATCTCTATGAAATTCCGTGACCCTTCAATACAGCTGCCCACAGCAAATCTGCAGCTGGCAGAACAAGCTAAAGAGTATGCTGGCCATTTTGTGTCATAGACATGCCGGCCATAATGGCTTGAGCTGTTGGCTGAAATGTTAGCTCCTTCCATGGCATCTCTGCATTGGCTTTGAGCAACACTGTTCAAAGAGCAACAATGCTGTGAAACCAACCCGTAGTAGGCCCTAGCAGCCTAGCATTGAGCTTTCAAGCTTTTGTGCATGCTACTTTTACATGAAAAGTTGGCAAAGCGAGCAAATTCATTGCCAACATATGATCCTTCTTTGCTTTCGAAATCTCTGGTCATCTTTTCGGAGTAAGCAGCTTTCGTTGTGTGACAGACACTGTGGCATGGCACACGTACCCAATACTTTGAGCCTTCGATGAACCACCTGGCGCTCGTGTGTTTCTCTCGCAACCATGCACGGTGCGCATCCAAACTTGCACCCAAACAACCCAACAAAGACCCACGTTCATTTTTGAAAATCAAACAAGAAACAATGCAAACAAACTGCAAGGAATATCGCCCGTACGTTTGAAAACATCAAGCTTGCATATTCATTCTTGTCAACAACGCAATGACCCTCTCCACTTTCAACGCGTGAAAGATGTAGATGTAGCTGCTCACACCAAATGCAGCAGGATGAACCGATCGAAAGGCTGTGGCATAAGAGTTCACTTGAGGGCAAGGGCAAGTGGGTGTGTATTAAAATAGGGAGACCTGCCAAAGACCCTCTGGAAGAAGGGAAACAGACCAAAATTTATTTGGTTGAGGGTTCCCTATTAAGATACATACCCAACTAAAAACCCAGAATAGAAGCCACGGCTTCAGAACTTCGTCGTGACAAGTTTCTGTGGTTCCAAATGGCGGCGGGTGTGACTCCTCCGCGCAGCGAACAAAAGAACGAAGCGAACAACGGTTAAATTAGGACACTGTGTGCAGCTTGCCAGCTGCTGCCATTGCACAGGTGTGCAGGTACTCTGCACAGCTACAGAACCTACAAAACAAAATGTGCAGAGTACCTACAGCATGTTGAAACAGAGCCAGAAATTGTAAAACAAACAAGTGCCTGCGAGTCAAGATTGTTCATGATAAAACAGCCGATGTTTAAGTGATTTATAAGTGCAATCCACATGTGCTAAAAATGCATGTCAGAAACCTCTCAAATCCTCCAAAATTCACCCTGCTCCCAGACACCCTTATATAAGTGTAATTCCCCACTTTTTCAACGTGTTTTTTTGACGCAGATCCACCGTCCAAATGACTTCGTCCGACTTCGTCCTAACCCAAACGGCACCCAAGCCAAATAGAGTGAACCATCCCAGGAGGATGGCTGTCACCATCCACTGTATAGAATGGCCATCAAAACCGGTTTCAAATGGAAGAAAAAAATCAAAAAAAGGGTTTGGCGGCGAATTCGGTCAATCACAATGTTCTGCGCGGCATCATTGCCCAAGCGATTTGACTTTGGCTGCGATTTGCTTCATCAACCATTGCAAACCTGCGCTGCAAAAATGCAAAATTTCACAAATCTAAGTTTTTTTCATCAAATGTTTTTGGGCAGGATGCAGTTGAGCCCAGCACTGAATTGGCCATCTGATGAAAAGTACAATGTTGAGATAAAACTGCAAGAAATTTGCAACTTTGAAGGTTTCCATACTCACGAGAGCTCTTGTTGACAAAACCCTTCAATTCCGGCATAGATGTGCACATGCAAGGTTGAACAAAGTTGCAAACTCAAACAAGAAACCCACCAGTGACTGAGCAAAAATTGAACAGAAGTTTTGAACCGACATGGTGGGTTCTAAGGAAAAAACAATTTTTCCCGAAAGCACCTGTGAAGGTTCTCAACGGCTGCCAACTTCAACTGTCCGACCATCATCACCATCATCATCATCATCATCGTCAGCACGATCAAACCCCAATCATCATGGGCACCCCGTTTGAAGAAGCGCCGGAACTGCAATGTTGAGGTTGCACTTCGTGGTGTTCTTCTTGGAAGTTTCTCGCTCCGACTCAATTGAAACTTCTAAAACGCAAATGGGGTGTTGGCCGCGCATTGCAATGCAGGGCCAGAGCGGCACCAAAAGGCGCCGAGGCGGCACAGCGCATTGTGATGGAGGTCCGAGCGGCACCGGTTTTGCCAGGGTTTTTGGACTGGAAGTTCCTCACTCCGACCCTTGAAACTTTGCAAAACGAAAAGGGGGTGTTGGGACCCCGCATTTCAACAGAGGGCCAGAACGGTTCGGAAGCGGAGGCGCTCAGCGCCTTGCAAAGAGGGCCCGAGCGGTCCCGAGGCGGCACCGTGCATTGTAACAAAGAGCCCGAGCCGCAGTGAACTAGTACCGCACCCCGCTCATCAACGGTCCGACCCAACCCACAGCCGCAAAACCAGAGCTTTGCAAGGGAAATACGTTGAAGATGGAACCGGGCAGCCTGGCGCGGCTTGCAAAAAACACCAAGGGCGCAAAACCTCAACAATATTTTTTCAAAACCCCATCCTTCACAACGCGCGTCAAACGTCAAATCAAGCGAAACAAGGTTTTCTTGCCATACTGAACGACCAGAGATGGCTCCTGAGCACTGGCCTGTGAACACACGCAAACATAACATGCTCCACGGCGCCAAGCCTTCTCTTAAGATCTTCCTTCTTCGCTTCCATCACTGAGACAGACAATGCGAAGACTGGGTTCACAACGTTTGGCCTCAGCACGCTGGTCGACTCACGGCGGACGTCCACCACAAGCATTGTGGCAAACAACCAAGCATCAAGCGCGCAAGGCCGCAATCGGACTGATGAAAAAAACAGCTGCCTATTGATCTGCAAGCTTGATTGTTTCGATCAAGAACATCATACACGCCATGGAGAACTTTTGTGAACCTTTTAGACCTTCATGAACAGAATGAATTGTTTTTGGACCTTTTTGCTGGACAGCAACATGTTTGAGGTCCTGTAAAGCTTTACCTGAATATCTTGTATGTGGGTTGCGAACATTACTGGCTCATGTGTGCGGCGAAAAGAGTGTGTGTGTGTGTGTTTTGCCTTTACTTTTCGTTTTTCGACTCGGATCGTTGAGACACTTGACTGACCAGGTGTTTTGAGCGCGAGAGCTTTCGATTTTTCTTCCAGAGTTTTGCATGTCAAACTTTCACGCGGTGGCGGAGCTTGTGATTGCTCCCTATCAC